TCAAGCAACAAATCTGTGAGATAGTTATCCCAACAAACTTTCTAATTCTGTTTGATTCATACGTTATCTTGGGTGCTGGAGGGAACTGCTGCTTTCCCTTAACCTAGTCAGGGGAAGGGGAAACAAGGAGGAGGAGGAGGAGCGAGGCAGGGAGGCCCCAACACGTAGCACAAACATATTATTAGGTGGGTAGTGAAGCAGTAAAAGCTCTGGTTCCAATTCTGGCTCCATCAGTCACTACCTGTGGATTCTTGAGCAAATCACTCCACACCCCTGAGCTTCGGTTTCTTCGGCTTTCAAAATGGGGACTCAGAACACAGTGAACGAGAAGATGGTTTCAAAGCCCTCAACTTAGTACCTGATGCGCTGTGAGAGCTCGGCGAGTTTTAGCTATTACTACTGTGCGCACGTGACGCAAGGAGGGCAGAGAAAGCCCGGGAATGGCGAATGGTAACCCACGCCAGAGCTTCCTCCCACGGATTCTTCAGGTCCGAAACTCAGGCGTCGTGCCTGCCTGCCCCAGCTCTGACCCCGACCGACCCCCAAAGAGCATCACCCCCTCAAGGATCGCCACCAGCCTCCTTACCATGGCTCCACAGCCTGCTGCCGGAAGTAAATCCCAGCGACCCCCGGAACCTCTAAGAGCGCATGCTCGAATGTACAAGGCGGGCGTGATCCGCGTTGCACCCTGGGATTTGCGGTCCAGGAATCGTGCCTGGCGCTAGTCCCAGGCGTTGTGGGAACGGAGTCTCCTCCTCTTCCCGACGTGCCCTGCGGCTCGGGGGCCGAACTCGGAAGTTCCGGGCCGAGTTCCTGATGCCAACGAGTCTTGCGAGGTGTGGTTAGACGCTGGGGACATGGCAGCGCCTGGCCCAGCGCTCTGCCTCTTCGACGTGGATGGGACCCTCACCGCTCCGCGGCAGGTAAGTGGCGCCCGGCGGGCTGGTGGCAGCCGACGCAGAGTCCGTGCTGTTCCCAGTTGGAGCTATCGACTACCCAGGGTAGGCGCCAAGGGCTGGCTAAGGACCGTCTACGTCCTCACGGGGGCTGGACCCTATTCTAGGTGCCCTGGAGGGATGAGAGGGAGGCCCTAACCAGCTCTTCAAGAGCTCTGATGCTTGGAAAGATGAGACGGGGCTGAAGAACTCTTAAGAGAAGGAAACTTGTGCTTGGTTGGAAAATGCAATCTGGACTCACCGCTAGTCCTCGGGACCGATGGACCAGGATTTGAACCCGACATCAGCTGTGTGCCTCTTACCAGCTGTTTGCCGGCCTCAATCCTGTAACCAATGGGCTGTGCCGTGAGTCATTATATTAAAAACAGGTTTCCAGGTGAAATCGACCTAGTGGAGTCTCATCTTCACCTCTTCACAGCTGTGTGACCTTGAGCAAGTCATTAACCTTTCTGAGCCTCAGCATTTACAGCTTTAAATGGGAACACCTGTTCCATATGGTGTCTGTGAGGATCAAATGAGATTGTGTAAGTTCTTGAAAGTATGTTGCACACAGCACACTAGGCCTCAGTAAATAGTAACCACCTCCACCACACCCATCTCCAGCCCCTGCAGTGGACTAGGAAGATGGAGGAGCCCTAGGTTATTACAGGCTGCCCGCTGAGAGCCTTTGGAAACTTGCTTTCCACTTCCAGATTTTGCTGCTACAGGCGCAGATAAGTTTCAGTCACTATCAGCCTTGAGATGAGGCTTTCCTGTCCCCTTTTCAGAAATTGGCCACTGACAACCGGCCATTTCAACTTGAGACTGGACCCCAATGGTCTCACTATCCTCAACTTCTATCCTCACCCCTCGTAGTCTTCGCTTGGTGGTAACAATGGTGTGCTCTAGAAAGCCACGTCAAATGCGTGTGACCTTAGACGTATCATTTTGCCCTTCTCAGCCACAGGTTTGATCTACCTAGTGATGACACTCAACTCCCAAGTTCTTCAAAGGCTTTTTCTGATTCTGAAATTCAGCTATCACACACTTGGGGTTGTTAAAAGCCCATAGTGGTCTAATACTGCGGTCCCCAATTCATTTTTTGTAAAGGGCCATATAGCATATACTTTTGTCTTTGCAGACCATATGGTCTATAGTAGCCACTGAACTTTAGTACAAAACCAGCCATAAACCCTATGTAAACACAGAGTGGCTGTGTACCGGTAAAACTGTATTTATTTGTTACAGAAACAAACAGCTGCCCAGTGTGGTCTGTGGGCCATAGCAGTCTAGGGTTTACATTGCCAACCCTTTTTCATGATTTCGCTGGACCCTCTCAACCTTCCTTCATCTTTCTTTCCAGGTAGGATAGTTGTTATTACCTTTTTAAACATAAGGAAACACACTCAGTGAAGAACTAACCTCCTCAGTTTCACACAGCCGACCTGGTACAAGCCCCTGAGCCTCAGGACATTGGTTCCTGTCAAGTTTGCCATTTCCTATCTGTGCTAAGGTGGAAGCTGTCCTAGTTACGGGGTATGCCATTCAGGAAAGTGCTTCTGATCTGATTTTCACAGTTCTGACTCTTCTTTTTTTTTTTTTTTTTTTTTGAGACAGAGTCTCACTCTGTCGCCAGGCTGGAGTGTAGTGGTACAATCTCAGTTCACTGCAACCTCCGCCTCCCAGGTTCAAGCGATTCTCCTGCTTCAGGCACCTGAGTAGCTGGGACTTAAGGCGCCCGCCACCCTGCCTGGCTAATTTTTGTATTTTTAGTAGAGACAGGGTTTCACCATGTTGGCCAGGATGGTCTCCATCTCTGGACTTTGTGATCCACCTGCCTCAGCCTCCCAAAGTTCCGAGATTACAGGCATGAGCCACTGCGTTCTGACTCTTAAGGGCCACTCCTGCAGTTCTAGATTTTGTCTAATAGGTTCAAATTCCACTGTGAGAGTAGAAAAGATTGTACTGTATTACAAGCCCTTCTATGCAGTTTTATTTTAATTAGATTCATGTGTTACTCTAAAAAAATTTTTTAAAGAAAAATCATTGAACTCCAAGTGTTTATATACTGAGGGTGAATTAAATGGTTTTTTGTATTTTCTAAATTTCTAGTAACTTTTTAAAAAAGATATTCAGGGCCAGGCGCGGTGGCTCACGCCTGTAATCCCAGCACTTTGGAAGGCCACGGGCGGATCACGAGGTCAGGAGATCGAGACCATCCTGGCTCATGCTGTGAAACCCCGTCTCTAGTAAAAATACAAAAAATTAGCCTGTAGTCCCATCTACACGGGATGCTGAGGCAGGAGAATGACGTGAACCCGGGGGGCGGAGCTTGCAGTGAGTGGAGATGGCGCCACTGTACTCCAGCCTGGGAGACACAGCGAGACTCTGTCTCAAAAAAAAGACATTCAGCCGGGCGCGGTAGCTAACGCCTATAATCCCAGCACTTTGGGAGGCTGAGGCGGGCGGATCACTTGAGGTCAGGAGTTCGAGACCAGCCTGGCCAACATGGTGAAACCCTGTCTCTAATAAAAATACAAAAAATTAGCTGAGCGTGATGGCGGGCGCCTGTAGTCCTGGCTACCTGGGAGACTGAGACAGGAGAATCGCTTGAACCCAGGAAATGAAGGTTGCAGTGAGCCAAGACCACACCACTGCACTCCAGCCTGGGCGACAGAGTGCAACTTCGTGTCAAAAAAAAAAAATAGACATTCAGTGTAAATGTTCAACTAAGATTGCTCAAAGTACTGAGTTATAAGACTTGTAAAAATACATTGTGATGTGTCTTAATGTAGGGCTGTTTTTCATCTTAGTTTATAACTTTTTAAAAATTATCACACTGTTTGGAATTTACCATAAAGTCATACCACTAAGACCACTCTTTCTAGATAGGAGCTTTGCTTTTAGAAGAGACTAAAAAATCTAGTCATCTTACTCTTTTCCAATTTTTTTTGTTTTGAGTAATTGCAATAAATCAGTTCTAAGCTTCTCCTATTTATTTATTTATCAAGACGAAGTCTCGCTCTATCATCCAGGCTGGAGTGCAGGGGCAGGATCTCGGCTCACTGCAGCCTCCGCCTGCCAGGTTCAAGTGATTCTCCTGCATCAACCTCCCGAGTACCTGGGACTACAGGCGCGTGCCACTACACCCGGCTAATTTTTGTATTTTTAGTAGAGATGGGGTTTGGCCATGTGGGCCAGGCTGGTCTCGAACTCTGACGTCAGGTGATCCACCAGCCTCGGCCTCTCAAAGTGCTGGGATTACAGACGTGAGCCGCCATGCCTGGCCCTGAGCTTCCTCTTTAATTTCATTATGTTATTTTGTTTTAAAATCAACAACTTAAATCCATAGATGGAGTATAGTGTAGCATTTAAAAGGAATACATCATGCTGAAAAAGCGAAGTTGCTGCAAAGGACATAGAATGATTCCATTTATGTTTCAAAAATAAGACCTATTTGTATATGTGCCCATAGATGGGTATATAAATGCGTAAAAAATTAGCTAGCACAGTGCACAACAGCTACTAACATATTACCTGTGTTTAAAATGTGGTAAAAATAACACTTAAGTTTATTCTGGTAAAGATGCCTCCCTCCCAATTACAACTAAAATATTTGAACTGTGTACAGAGCTGGTAACTTAATTGGCATGTATGAAAATAAGGCTTATAGGCCTGGCTTATGCCTGTAATCTCAGCACTTTGGGAGACCAAGGCTGGTGGATCTCCTGAACCCAGGAGTTCCAGACTGGCCTCAAAACTTCGTCTCTACAGAATATGAAAAAATTAGCCAGGTGTGCTGGCGCATAACTGTGGTTCCATCTACTCAGGAGGCTGAGGTAGGAGGATCACCTGAGCCCCGGTCGAGGTCGAGGCTGCGGTGAGCTATGACCATGCCACTGCACTCCAGCTTGGGTGACAAGTGAGACCCTATGTCAAAAACAATTTTTTTCTTTAATTTTTAAATAAGAAAATAAGATTTGTGTACTTGTGTTACCCTTAGAGTTTTAGTCTCCTGATTATTTTTTGGCTTATGAATGTTGTATTTTCCTTCTTGAAATTTAGAAAATTACCAAAGAAATGGATGACTTCCTGCAAAAATTGAGGCAGAAGATCAAAATCGGAGTGGTAGGCGGTTCGGACTTTGAGAAAGTGCAGGAGCAACTGGGAAATGATGGTAAATGAGAGGTTGCTAATTACATCTAGTAAAAGATTAACTTCTTATGAGGATATTGTTGCCAAGTATCATAGGCTGCCCTAAAACCTTATTCCCATATGGCAGAGTTTCTGCTTCCTTGTTTGGGAAACATTTTCTTGGCCCTTATTTTTCCTCTGCTTTTAATCCAGTAAATTTCTGGAGTTACTGATGGAGAACTGGGTACTCAGATGTGTGAGCAGATTCACCTAGAAAGGTCAGTGGCTGTGTCTTTGCACATAGTAATCTCTCTGCCTGGGATACTTCTTGCTTGTACCCGTTCACTGCCCTTCTAGCCCCAGTCAGGCTGGTCTTCAAATTGTCCCTCTGGCAGCCCCCCTCACCTCCCCATCACTGGAACAGAATCTCCAGCACAGGACCCCAAAAAACCAGAGAGGTTTTTGACCCCTTCACTGGAGATTCTGACTTGATAGGTCTGTGGAGCCTGGGAATCCTATTTTAGTAAGTACCTCCGAGAGATTCTAGTGTACAACCCTGCTAATGTAGCATTCTGTAATTATTGTAAACTATCCGATTATATGTTTTTGAAGAGCAGGAGTATGAGTTATTCATCTGCATAGCCCCAGGGCCTCCTGGCCTGTAAGAAATTGTAAGTGGATGCCAGGCGTGGTGGCTCACGCCTGTAATCCCAGTACTCGGGGAGGCTGAGGTGGGTGGGTCACCTGAGGTCAGGAGTTTGAGACCAGCCTGGCCAACATGATCAAACCCCGTCTCTACTAAAAATACAAAAAATTAGCTGGGCGTGGTGGTGGGTGCCTGTGCCTAGCTACTCGGGAGGCCAAGGCAGGAGAACTGCTTGAACCCAGGAGGCAGAGGTTGCAGTGAGCCGAGATCGCACCATTGCACTCCAGCCTGGGCAATAAGAGCGAAACTCCGTCTTGGAAAAAAAAAGAAATGTAAGTGGAGAGGTGGATGAATTGATTGTTCTTTTAACCCATATTGTCCCCAGAGTCCTCACATCTTGAAACCAGCTCCTCTAGAGCAAGATTTCTCAACCTTCACACTATTGATATTTTGGACCAGTTAGTTCTCCATTATGAAGGCCGTCCTGTGCATTGTAGGGTATTTAGCGACATCCCAGGCCTCTACCCACTAGATGCCCACAGCATACACACACGCACACATACGGCTCTGACAACCGGAAGTGTCTCCAGACATGGCCAAATGACCTGTGTGTAAAATCACCCCCATTTGAGAACTACTGTTCTCAGAGATGTAATATCTTACAGTCTAAATCTGTGTAGCCTGTATTTATTGGATCCCCATTACTAGAAGAGTAATCTCCGCAATGCCTTTAAAAACTCTTGCACTTCCACTTCATTTTCCTGGTTGGTCTCCTACTTAGAAATGCTATAAACCACATACTGGGGATCATGAAGCCCTGAAAATCCTGTTACCTCCTCATGATCACCCTTTCTGCGTCTAGTTGTGTATTTAACCACTTGCTCAGGGAAGTTTTGTGTAGGGTAGCGTAGTGTCTGCACCTTTCAGAGACATGCAACAATAGAATCAAAACATTCACCAGCTAAAAGACAGGTGAAGGCCCACCTGTATCAGAATCTCCTGGGAAGCTTATTAGAATAGGAGTGTGGGGGCCCCACCCAACACATAGGGGATCTGCATTTTATTTTTTTATTTTTTATTTTTTTATTTTTTTATTTTTTTTTGAGACGGAGTCTCGCTCTGTCACCCAGGCTGGAGTGCCGTGGCCGGATCTCAGCTCACTGCAAGCTCCGCCTCCCAGGTTCACGCCATTCTCCTGCCTCAGCCTCTCGAGTGGCTGGGACTACAGGCGCCCGCCACCTCGCCCGGCTAGTTTTTTGTATTTTTTAGTGGAGACGGGGTTTCACCATGTTAGCCAGGATGGTCTCGATCTCCTGACCTCGTGATCCACCCGTCTCAGCGTCCCAGAGTGCTGGGATTACAGGCTTGAGCCACCGCGCCCGGCCGGGGATCTGCATTTTAACAGGTACCTGAAGTTTGAGAATCCCTCCATTAAGGTTGACAGCATGGATAGTTTCCAAACCAGACTGATTATAAGAATCACCAAAGAGTGCTTTGTTTTGTTGTGAGACAGAGTCTTGTTCTCTGGCCCAGGCTGGAGTGCAGTGGTGCAATCTTGGCTCACTGTAGCCTCTGCCTCCTGGGTTCAAGTGATTCTTGTGCCTCAGCCTCAGCCTCCCAAGTAGCTGGGACTACAGGCGCCCACCAGCACGCCCAGCTAAGTTTTGTATTTTTAGTAGAGATGGGGTTTCACCCTGTTGGCCAGGCTGGTCTTGAACTCCCGACCTCAGGTGGTCTGCCCACCTCGGCCTCCCAAAGTGCTGGGATTACAGGCGTGAATCACTGTGCCTGGCCACCAGAGGTCTTTTAGGTTTAGTAGAGATGGGATTTCACTATGTTGGCCAGACTGGTCTGGAACTCCTGACCTCATGATCCACCCGCTTCAGCCTCCCAAAGTGCTGGGATTACAGGCGTGAGCCACACGGTACCCAGCCCAAAGAGCTTTTTAAAAATATATTTAGCCTGTCCCTCAGCAATTCTGATTCAGGAAGCCGGAGAGCGTAGCTTGGAAATCTGCACTTTCACTCACTGCCCTGGTTGCTGCTGGCAAACCATCAGCATCGTGGACCAGCATCTTCCTTTACAGACAGTCAGGCTGAAGTCAGGGACGTAAGATAACCTGTTACCAAGTCTCTAATCTCCTGCCGAGTCATCGTTTAAATATGTAACCAAAAAGAGCCATTTAAAAAAAAACAAGGAAGGTTTTTCCATACTCTTCTCTTAGTCTGTAAGATGAGATGGTCTCTCACAGTCCTTGCTGGAGTTTAGCGGTTTTATTAGTGGTCATTGTTAATCAAGGAATAGAAACACGGGTTTTGATTCTTTGCATTCTAAGTGTTTTTTTGGTTTTGATTGTAGTGGTTGAAAAATATGATTATGTGTTTCCAGAAAATGGCTTGGTAGCATACAAAGATGGGAAGCTCTTGTGTAAACAGGTAGGTTCTTGAGTATCCGAATTACTATATACTATTAAAAGTGTTTTCTAAAAGGGCATTTCACATTGAATGCCTCTGGGAAGATGAGGAACAGGGGTAGAAATGAATCTTTACTCTGTATTCTTTTTGTTTTGAATTTTGAACCATGTAACTATTACTATTCTAAATAACTAAATTTTTATACTTTTTAAATATAATATTTCTTTTCTTGTTTTGTTCTGTTTGTTTGTTTTTGAGATGGAGTCTTGCTCATCACCCAGACTGGAGCCGGAGTGCAGTGGCACGATCTCGGCTCACTGCAACCTCTGCCTCCCTCGTTCAAGCAGTTCTTATGCCTCAGCCTCCCCCGTAGCTGGGATTACAGGCACACGCCACCACACCCAGCTAATATTTGTACATTTTTAGTAGAGACAGGGTTTCACCATGTTGACCAGGCTGATCTCCAACTCCTGACCTCAAGTGATCCTCCCACCTCAGCCTCCCAAAGTGCTGGGATTACAGGCATGAGCCACCACACCCAACCTTTTCTTTCTTTTTTTTTTTTAAGAAGATGGGGTCATGCTGTGTTAACCAGGCTGGAGTGCAGTGGTGCAATCCTAGTAGCCTAGACTTCCTGGGCACAGGTGATCCTCTGCCTTAGCCTCCCAAGTAGCAGGAACTACAGGGACATGCCACCATGCCTGGCTTTAAATCTATTGATAACATTTCTGTGATGATAAACCTAGAGCAGGTTGCCTCATTATAAGCGTTGGGTTTTTTGTTGTTTTTTTTTTTTTTTCTTTTTTTGTGACAGAATCTCACTCTGTTGACCAGGCTGAAGTGCAGTGACTCAGTCCTGGCTCCCTGTAACTTCTTGGGTTCAGATGATTCTTCAGCCTCAGCTTCCCAAGTAGCTGGGATTACAGGCATCCACCAGCATGGCTGGCTCATTTTTGTATTTTTAGTAGAGACAGAGTTTCACTATGTTTGCCAGGCTTGTCTCAAGCTCATGACTTAAAGTGATCCACCTGCGTCAGCCTCCCAACGTGCTGGGATTACAGGTGTGAGCTGCCACACCTGGCCACTATAAGCATTTTTAAGAGGTACTATGTGGCTGTTAGTAGTAGTAAGATCATTCTGTTCAGACGTAAGAGAATGCTGAAGTGAAACAAATTTTCTGTCAATATCTGGCGATATTTTAATTGAATAAAAGTGGTAGCAGTAAGCTCTTTGGGTCTTACAGGAAGCATTTGAACAATAATGAGTACAAAAATCTTGGGTAATGAAGCAGCAAATGCTTTTGACTAAAGCCTTTCTGGCTTGCCTAATGTTTTTGACCAGAGAAATAAGAGAAGAAATTAAACAGGCAGTGAGGCATGTCACCATCACTGCTATATCAGCCTACTGATTTTCAACAATAGTGGCTGAAGACCCTGGGTTTGCTATAAAGCTGTTTTGAAAATGCTCCTGCTGAATCAAATAACTCAAGTATTTTCTTCATCTAGAATATTCAAAGTCATCTGGGTGAGGCCTTAATCCAAGATTTAATCAACTACTGTCTGAGCTACATTGCGAAAATTAAACTCCCGAAGAAGAGGTGGGTTTGCTTGTAACAAAGAGGCATCACTGGAACATAACGTAGTGTCATATGGTGGGTTAATGTGGGCATTCTCCAAATAGGATTATAAAATCACCTAAAGAGTTGTAAAAAAAAAAAGTCTGATATTTAGCCTGGCCCTTGACAGTTGTAATTCAGAAAGCCTGAGAGTCGAGCTTGGAAATCCACGTTTTCTCTGACTGCCCTGGTGTTGCTGGTTCACAGCAGGGTTCAGTAGCCACCATGGGCCAGCGAATTTAAATCCGAATCCCAGCACTTAGTAAGGAATAATTGGAAACAGTCCACAAAGCCAACAGTATAAGAGTGATTATGTAAATGATGGCTTGTCCACATGATGGAAATTTATACAGCCATTGAAGCCCATATGCTTTCAAAGGCTGTCAGTGAGAGGAAACAGCAGTGAAGCAGCGTGTACAAAAAGCAACAGAAACCCTGGATTGGGAAGTCTCAGACAGGAAGCCTTCGGGCCAGATCCATGTAAAACCCAAATCTGGTTGGCTTGCAGTGTTAAAGAAAATCTGGATTAATTGCCATCATGTAAAAGTCTGATTTTACTTTTTAAAATTGATTTATGTTTTTATTTTTGAGACGGAGTCTCACTCTGTGGCCCAGGCTGGAGTGCAGTGGTAGGATCTCGGCTCACTGCAACCTCCGCCTCCCAGGTTCAAGCAATTCTGCCTCAGCCTCTTGCATACCTGGGATTACGGGCACCTACCACCATGCTTGGCTATTTTTTGTATTTTTGGTAGAGACGGGGTTTCATCATGTTGGCCAGGCTGGTCTTGAACTCCTGACCTCATGATCCACCTGCATTAGCCTCCCAAAGTGCTGGGATTACAGGCATGAGCCACCGCGCCTGGCCAATTTTTGTATTTTTATTAGTGATGAGGTTTCACCTTGTTCGTCAGGTTGGTCTCGCACTTCTGACCTCAGGTGATCCACCCACCTCAGCCTCCTAAAGTGTTGAGATTACAGGCATGAGCCACCATGCCCAGCCTCACCAACCAGTTTATAACAATATACATTAACTATGGAAAAACTCTAATAGGATTTATATGATTTTATATGCTTTATCTCACTCACTGGGACTCTCCCTATATTTGCAGAATGTTTTCTTGATTTTAAGAATTTGTCTG